CTATAAAAGGGTCATTGTAAGCTTAAGCTAAATGTTGATTTTATGAATATATGTGCACATGAGTGCGCAAGGACGCACAGAGGCATACGCATGCAAATATTCAAGATTGATAATTGACTTGAATTAACCAAATTACTTTACATTTTCTTAAAAAGGATGTTGGGATAAGTCGATGAGTTTTATTAACTTGTAAGCCTCAATAGTTGTAAGAATGATACCCTGATCTGATGATGTTCGTCATATGACGGAGGAACTACTTGCATATTTTCACCGAAATCGAATAATTCCCAGTAATTTGATATGGTATAGATACGAAGAGTAGATAGTTTCCGATTAATCTCTTAAGTTAATATTGTTGTGGCAACTTCAATTGCATATGGAAGTGCATGATAAAAGATTAGTATGTTTATTTTACCAGAAATGGACGGCCGATTCCCCTTGTTCTGTAGTAGTTTGGCTCTAATACGACATTCCGATTGACAAAATCCACAAGACATTCTCTCTAATTTCGAGCGCAAATGGACTGAGCTTTCATCCGTTGTATCACGAACATCATTAGAGCTGGAACTCATTCTTGCATGTTTCAAGTTAGCACAAAGTTAAGAAGACTTTCTGGATCAATCTTACATGGTGTATGAATTAATAAATAAAAATGGAACTCTATAGATTCAGATGGATAGAAATAGAATAATTTGATTAGTTCTCTTTCATATTTTTCATAGTTATTTTATTTTTAGTTTGTAAGTATGGTTTCGAGAATACCCGTAAATCAGATAGGAATTTTACCCATGTGTATGTGTGTGGGAGCTAAAATCTATACGCAATACCGACCCTAAATCAGAGTACAGACTATAATACATGCGCAGACACACATACATACTCATGAAAGAGAACAAGCCGAATTATTTTATATCTATCTGTCTATATTTTTTTATCATCATTTTTTATTTCTGAGAATTTATAATATAGGGGGGAAGGCCAGACAGTTTTCTTGACTTTGTGTTAACCGGAAACTTGAGAAAATGTGATTCAGTCCTGATTATGTTAGTCATACACTAGACAAAAGGGTGGATGTCCCATTAATCGCGTCTACCCTAAGGTCGTATTAATTCCAAATGGATGTAGAACAAACAGAATCAGCTTTCGCCTTCTGCTGAGATCAACTAAGTAATCGTTTCATCGTGCACTGTTATACTAAATGAAAGTCTTCACAACAATTTTATTATAAGAGATTTATCGAATCTCTCGGCTACTCTTCACATCTACACCACATTAAATTATTGGAAATTTTTCGAAACACTTTCTTCTCTTACGTCGGAAAACCCTCGGTGGTGTGGCCACGCCTTCGACTGCGGATGTAATCCGCGAGATACTGAAAAGTTTGCCTCTCCTGACATGAAAGGGTGAATAAATCACCCTGATAGCCGACTAGCTTTGGGCAATCTGGCTCCTTCGACTCGATCCCCTTTCCTGTCCAGTCTCTCCCCTTCCTAACACACCCCTGGCCAGCTCTTGACCAACTATCCGACCGCGTCGGAAAACCCGAACGCGATTAAGGCTTACTGCTGATTGGTCGGGACAGGAAAAGTGGACGGTTTACCCGAGGCTAGACACAAAGAGTTCGCCTGGGAAAATGGGTGAACTGGTCCGGACAGGAGGTTGGTCCACGGGCGACTGGACACTCGCGGAGGCAGAAGACACGGGAACCCGGTCAGCGTGGGCCGGATGGAAGGCTGTCATGAAAAAATCTTCCTCACCGACCACCTCTCCCTCTTGGGAGGGTGAACCAGGCCGACTTCATTGGGATTGGCTGATGAAGCTGTCTACGAGGCGGTGGCATCACGCCTGTCTCCAGACAACGCACTCAGTACTGGGCTATAAGGCAGGCCGGCCAAAATGTTGCCCAATCCCGACACCCGCTCTGCCCCGTTCTCGAGGCCCTGGCACTTCTGCCTTCACAGACAGTCGAACTGAGTATATAAGGCCAAGGCGAGTGTGGCAACTGGAACCCTCGAGACGGGCGAAACCGAAAGGCAATTCGGCCAGACACCGACGTTGCTGTAGCTCAGGATATATACATTTAACCACTTTATTTGCTTCCGCTTCTCACTACCCATGCTCGAGGTTACAACCCGGCTCAACGGCGACTCTACAACCGGGCAGATACTGGGGCGGTGTGGCAGCCGGCCAAACATCGTTTTGAGACGAGGGTGAGTTCAGATGCCTTCTCTTTTTTTGTTTCACACTTTCGTAGATGAAACAGATTTGTAGAATTTTTTTGATCACATTACAAGAGACGAGATGCGCCCTCGAGAGCGACTCAATTTCTTCCCAATAAAAACTTGGCTTAAAAACTATTTTTACCTTTGTCTCATATACTAGTGACAATCGCTGCAAGCATCCTCAGTCTACCTGTTTGGCCTAGCAACTATAAGGTTAGACTCACTAGACCTGGAAAATCTAACGATTGAAGAGGAAAATGACAATAGCACTAAGCGGCAATAAATGACTCACCATTCTGGTAATGCAAAAAAGGCAAAATATGTAATATTATCTAATGATGCTACTCGACTAAAATGAATAATACAGGCAGGTCGCGATTAATATGAGTTCGAATATTACGAAATTCAATTTAGTTTGATCTATAAATTGACACCAATTCAGTAACTAGTGTTCAAGATTAGAGGGCAGTAGATATGAAAACCAAGGTGGTGTGGCCGTATACCTAGTCGCAGTTATGGAAAAAGCGACGACCTTTATGCATGTCTCGATGATTTTCACGGCATCCAGTTTTATACTTACAGTAAAGTATATTACAAATTATATAACACTCCCTTTTATAAATATGGACACAGGGAAGAATGCTAAAGTGAATATTTAAAGCAGAAAAGGAAATGAATTTGATAATATTAGAACAAAAATTTGCCTTAATTAGAAGACACAAATGTGGTGATATTAATTTTAGAATTGGCAGATATGTTAAAATTCATGAATCAACTATACGGAATATAGTGTTGGTTCGACCCTGTCTTTACACCTTTATCGATGCGTCAGGAAGACTTTGTGGAACGTACCTAGTCCCATGTCCTCTGCCACAGTATTCGTGATTTCCAGCATTGGAACATTGACCGGGTACGTTGCCAAATGTTTGATTGGCTTCGTCAGTGAGAGACGTAATCGTAAGCACAAATTTACAACAGCGAAACGTTTGGGAATGTACCCAGCCAATGATCCAATGCTGGAAATCACGAATACTATGGCAGAAGACGCGAGACTAACTACATTCCACTAGGTCTCTCTGACGCTCCGACGAAATTGCGAACACAAAGTCGAACACTAAAGGAGACTGCGAACAGGTTATATTTTTAAATACGAAGAGTAATTGGGTCTTGATGACTCCCCTGAGAGATAATTGTTGGGATTACTTTAATTTCGTATGAAATTACCTGAAGAAGATATTCGTAGGTCGATCTTATCAGAAGAGAATTGCTGAATCCTGTTGTACTGCAGCCGCTTGGCTTTTATACGAGGTTCAGGTCGTATAAATGATAATAATGATAACATTTAAAGCATAACACCTAAGCAGAACTTTTACCCAAGCAACACGCGATAATGCTTTCTATGCTGTTCTGATTTTCCTATAACTAATATTTGGTTTTCAAAGACAATTGCTACTAGTGTAACATTTTTGTTAAACATTTTCATTTGGATGAAAATAACTACATGATTTTATAAGTTATAATTACTTCGAATATTACTTTATTTTCAAGGGACGAATTACTCATACGAATTGTGACCAGCCTGTACTAAAAAGGCATTTTGTGTAGACTAGCATTTCGTGTGAAAGGACAAGCTAAAGGTATCCTTAATTAGAGTTCCCTGGCCAATTTGGCTTTAATACGACCTTCAGTTTGACG